TTGTAAATCCATCAGGTCCTGGGCTTTTATTTTGGGAAGGTTTTTGATTACCATTTCAATTTCGCTGCTTGTAATTGGTTTGTTTATGTGTTCTATTTCTTCTTTATCTAGCTTTGGGTGATTGCAGAGTCGTAGGAATTTGTCCATCTCTTCTAGATTGTTGAACTTGTTTCCATATAACTGTTCATAGTAGTCTCTGATTATTCTTTTGATTTCTGCTGTGTCTGTTGTGATTTCTCCTCTTTCATTTGTGATCCTGTTTATTTGTGCTTTCTCCCATTTTTCCTTTTTAAGCCTGGCTAGGGGTTTGTCTATTTTATTTATTTTTTCAAAGAATAGGCTTTTGGTTTCATTGATCTTTTGGATTGTTTTTTTTTTGGTTTCGATTTCATTTATTTCTGCTTTGTTTTTTATTATTTCTTTTCTTCTGGTTTTAGGGTTTTTTTGTTGTTCTTTTTCTAGTTCTTTGAGCTTTGAGATTAGGCTGTTTCTTTGAGTTTTTTCTTGTTTCTTGATGTAAGCCTCTGCTATATATTTTCCTCTTATTACTGCTTTTGCTGCATCCCATATATTTAGGAAATTGGTGTCCTCTTGTCATTCAGCTCAAAGAATTTTTTAGTTTCTTCTTTGATCTCTTCATTCGTCCAGTGGTCTTCCAGTAGTGTGGGTTTCAATCTCCATGAGGTTGTAGACTTCCTTGCCTTCTTTTTATGGTTTATTTCTAGCTTGCTACCTTCATGGTCAGAGAAGATGTTTGGTATAATTTCGATCTTGGTGTATCTGTTGATGTTTGTCATATGTCCCAGTGTGTGATCAATCTTGGTGAATGATACGTGTGCACTTGAGAAAAATGTGTACTCAGATTTTTTTGGGTTTAGTGTTCTGTAGATGTCTGTTAAGCCCAAGTGCTCTAGATCCTTATTTAGAGCTTTAGTGTCTTTATTTTTTTTTGTCTCATTAATCTATCCATTGTTGATAGTGGTGTGTTGAAGTCTCTTACTACATACGTGTTTTCTCTGATGTCTGTTTTCAAAGATGATAATAGTTGTCTGATATATTTTGGTGCTCCTTCATTTGGTAAGTATATGTTAATGAGTGTTATTTCTTCTTGAAGTATTGTCCCCTTGATCATTATGTAGTGACTGTTGAGGTCTCTTTTTACCTTTTTGAGTTTGAAATCTGTTTTATCTGATATAATTATAGCTGTTCCTGCTTTCTTTTTTGGTCCATTTGCTTGTAGGATTGTTTTCCATCCTTTAACTTTTAGTCTATTTTAATCTTTTGTACTTAAATGTGTTTCCTGGAGACAGTAAGAGGTTGGGTTTTGTTTCTTAATCCAGGCTGCAACTTTGTGTCTTTTTATTGAAGAGTTTAGTCCATTTACATTTAGAGTTAATATTGATATGTTAGCATCTGTATTTGCTATTGTGTTTGTCTTTCCTCTGGTTTTATTTATTTATTCTTTTAATAATTTTTTTGGGTCTTCTTTCGTTGTTATTCATCCCTCTGTTGGTTATGGCTTTAGGATTCCTTATAGTATTCTTTTGGAGTGGGGGTTTAGTCGTAATGATATTCCAGAGTTTCTGTTTGTCTGGGAAGGTCCTTATTCTTTCTTTATAGAGGAAGGAAACCTTTGTGGGATAGAGTATTCTTGGTTGGCATTTTTTGTCTTGGAGCCTGTTGACTATGTCCCTCCACTCTCTCCTTGTCCGTAGTGTTTCTTCGGAGAAGTCTGATGTCAGTCTGATTGGTTTTCCTTTGAATGTTATCTGTTTCTTCCCTCTTGTCAGCTTCATTATTTTTCCTTGTCTTGGATTCTTGGGAGCTTTGCTATTATGTGTCTTGCTGTATTTTTCCTTTCGTCATGGAAGTTTGGTGTTCTTCTTGCTTCTTGTATGTGTATTTTCAGCTCCTTCATGTTTGGGAAGTTCTCTTCAATTATTTCCTTGAATATTTTCTCTGTTCCTACATCTCTCTCCTCTCTTTCTGGGATTCCTATAACTCTTATATTTCCTTTCCTCATGGAGTCATTAGTTCCTGAAGTCTTTTGTCAGTCTTTTTCATTCATACTTCTCTTTCCTTTTCTGTTTTGGTTCTTTTTATTTCTGTGTCTTCAAGAGTACTTATTTGTTCTTCCATTTCATCTATTCTGCTTTCATTGCTTTTCCCAGAATTGTTTTGGCCTCCATTAATTCTTGATCTCCTGCATTTTTTTTACTTCCCTCTTTAGGGACTCAATTTCATTCTTCTGATCGTTGATTATTTTCCCCTTATCATTGTTTTCCTTTATGACTTATCAGTTTTTTAATCATGGCAATTTTAAATTCTCTTTCTGGAATGCTCAGAAGTTCTTCCAAGTCACTGTCATTGCCATCTGGTGGGTGGTTTTCTTTTTGTGGTGTGTCTTTCTCCTGAGGATTTGCTAAGTTGCATGTAGTTTTTCTTCTCCCTGCTGCCTGTCTTCTAATTTGCTGTGTGCATTTGGACACTGTGCCGCTGGTACTGGCCGGCATCTTTTTGGTGTGCTTTTTGTGGGGTTTCAGAAACTGGTGGTCCAAACGAGTCAAATTCTCTTATGCCAGAAGTCTAGTGAGGCTGTGGTACTTTGAGTATGTTAATGGTCACTGTCACAGAATATTTTCTCCTTCTGTGTTTAATTACAAAGGTGTGTCTTGAAGCCCCACAAACTCCCCTGGAGGTGGGGCAGCTGGATTGCACTCTGGGTTCCAAAAAACTGGATCCCACTCTGGGCTCCAACTTCCTGCCAGGCGGGACCAGCCTTCAGCTCACCTCTGACTGTGCAGGGAACCTTCTCCCTCTGGCTCCGCAGGGAGCCTTCTGTCAGTTTCAAGCAGTCTTTATTGAAGAAAGTTCCCTGTTCTAAAATTGCAATGCACGTAAGCACTCCCCTACTTGCCCTGTCTGCCAGGGCCTTGGGTTCTGTTCCCCCTCTGGGCTCCTACTGCTGGCCAGAAGGGGCCTAGGGTGGGCGAACTTCCCAGCTCACCTCTGGCTCCGCAGGGAGCCTTCTGACAGTTTGAGGAAAGGTCCCTGTTCTAAAATGGCAATGCGGGTACACACTCCCCTGCGTGCCTGGTCTGCCCTGGCAGTGGGTGCCCTCTCCCCCTCTGGGGTGTAGATATCTTTTTGAGATACTGATTTTACTTATTTCAGATGTATATCCTAGAAATGGGATTATATATCTGAGATGAATGTAATATGAAATATATATTCAAATATTATTCACTCATTAAAAAAGGAAATGTCTCCACTTGCAACAACATGGATAAAGCTGGAATGCATTATGCTAACTGACGAGCCAGATGGAGGAAGAGATATAATGCACAGAATAAATCTTACTGTGGGATTCTTAAGTTGATTTTATAGAAACAGAGAGTAGAATGTGATTGTGAGAGGCTGAGGATGAGGAGATTAGGACATGTATGTCAAAGGGTAAAAACTTACAGTTTTAAGGTAGATAAATTCTGAGGGTCTAATGGAAGGCATGGTGACCATAGTTAATAACACTGCATTGATAACTTGAAATTTTTTAAAAGAAGAGATCGAAAACACTTACATTCAAAAAATGTAGCTATATGAAATGATAATGTGTTAATATACTTGACTGGTTTGGGGCTTTTTCCACTTTTGGCAATTAAAAATAAAGCTGCTGGGCCTCCCCTGGTCACTCAGGCAGTTGAGCGCAGTGCTATAAAGCTGTCCGCAGCCTCTGCAGCTCTGGTTCAATCCCAGCCGGCCAGAGAGGGTCCCACATGGGGCATCAGAGCTCTCCTGCCTAACCCACTGCTACCCTCAGCAGTGTATTTCATCAGTCTGCCTGTTCTGTTCCCTGCTCTGTCTCTGGTGAATCCTCTCACCCTCCCATGAATCTTGGCTTTTGTATGTATGGATAAATAAATAAATCTTTAAAAAAAACAAATAAAGCTGCTTTGAATATTCAAGTATTTCCTTTTCTATTGACAAATTCTTAGTGTAACAATAGGATCACATAGTATGTGACTGTTAAACATTTAAAATAACTGCCAAACTGTATTGCACAGTGATGGTCCAATGTTGCCTTCCTATAAATAATGAATGAGCATTTCAGTTTCACCACATCCTCACCAACACTGAGTTTGGTCAGTATTTTTAAAATTTTACCCACTTTAATTGGTGGTTAGGACATCTCATTGTTTTAATTTGCATTTTCTTAACATCTAATGATGTAGAGCATAGTTTCATGTGCTTATTAGTGATGAATATGACTTCTTTGCTGACAGATTTTTTTAATAATCAATAATGGATGCTGGATTTGTGAAGTTCTTTCTCTGCATCTATTGGGATGATTTGTTTTTCTCTTCAATTTTTTAATGTAGTGAATTACAGTAGTAGACATTGATTATACCAGCCTTGTAGTACTGGGATAAATTACCTGTGAAGTGATTTGTTATCCTTAGAATACAGAGTAGATTCAGTTTGTCACAATTTTATTTAGAACTTTTGCATCTAAGGTCTTGAGGGATATGGACCTGTAACTTTCCTTTTTGATTCTTATGTTTTTATTTTGGGATCAAGGCAAATAGGTTTTATAAAATGTTTAGCAAGGGAAGTATCCCTCTTCTTCAACTATTCTGACTATATTGATTTGGTACAGAGGAAATATACAAAACTATTCCATGAGTGATTTGTAATAGAGAAAAATGAATTATATAATAAATAAAGAGATCTTATTTGAGAAAATGTTTTAATATAAAACACATATTAGTAAACATTATTGCATTCTCAAGATGCAGTCTGATTCAAATTCATTGTCTCAGAAGCCTGCAATAGGACCCTCAGGGGGGAATCAATGTCTTAGCAGGTGAGGAACCTGGGGAATTGTGACTTTCAAAAAGTCATCTGAGTATGCAGAGTTGGTGGAAGTTCAATTCACTGTCAACCTCTTTCTTCCCCACCCTGACTCCCACATGACTGTCCAAATTCTGTTCATTTGGAAGCTGTTACTGGTGGCTGCCACAGGGCTCTGGTTTTTGAGAGAGGCCAGTGTCCTGGAGGGGAGTGTGTGATGTTTTCCCACTGAGTCCCACTCCTGAGAGGAGGGGCATTTTCACCTGTGAGGAGGGCTCTAGATTTTCTGTTTCTATCGGGGTGGGGTTCCTCTGAGGATGGGCTTTTTTTTGATGCCGGGATATTGGGCAGATGACTATGGGAGTCTTGTATTTCTCACCATATAGGATAAAAGGCTTCAATGAGCCTTCAAATTGATTTTTCAATGTACAAATAAGGGATCGATCATTTATATTGTAGAAGGAGATGGTCCCACCATCATAATCTAATAAAATCCCCACTCGTGTAGGAGGGAATCTGAGAGAGAGGATGATTCTGTGGGGATCAAATGTGAAATACTCATGTTCTGTCTCCAACCCAAGGACCCAGTAACCATTGTAGGGAGACAAAATTTCATTTACCCTCCTGTCCATATCCAGGCACACACCCAAACACCACATTTCATTGTGTCCTACTTCCACTTCCCAGTAATGTTTCCCTCCCTGGAAACTCTGAGGAGCAACCACAATCTTGGTATTAAATTTCTTCTTTAAGAAGGGATCCTTCTTCCTATAGATTTCAGAAGTGTAGATCTGGGGGCGAGCCATGTCCATGTTCAGAGTCACGTCCGCTGGGTGCGTTGTAGGAGAGAGAAAGCACAAGTTACTGGGGAGAGACCTGGGCTAGGTCCAGAGGTCACTGTAGACCAACTCAGGGTGTGGCCAGGGGAGGTCACAGAGGCAGAATTTCTCCACACACTGTGCCTTCAGCCCCTCTTCCATTTCAATGAAGCTAAGGGCTTCATCAATGCCCAGTAATGCCCAATTATGAAACCAACTTTTGTATATCACCCAAACCCTACTATTTTTCTACTAGTAAAATCCATTATTTGACTTTACAGGGCTTAATCATTCCCTCTGTCTCCTATATCCAGCTTCCTTCTCAATTCTGCCAAACTTCACTTCTTTCCCTTCAGTCCAGTTCCCTGGTCATTTACTAGTGCCCTCAATTCCCTGTAACTACCCCTACCTGACACTGCCCCAGCCCTCTTTTCTCCCACATTCAGAGTGGGTCTGGGGGAGTGGTTCCCTGGGATGGACTTAGGTGTCAGTGACTCATCATCTGTAGCCAGGTGGTTTTCAACGTCCTTCAGTTGTTCCATCTCTGTAGCTCTGCCTCCCATGCCCTCCCAAGGCTCTGTTTCACTCAAATTCCCCAGGTGTTGGTACCTTCATACTGTCGGGCCTTTCTCAATTCTGAAAAAAAGCAAAAGAGTAGGATGATCAGTGCTCAAATGGAGAGCAATGGAACAGAGAGGAAAAATACCAAGGGTGGCGCCCATTTTTGGTGTCCTAGACCCACCAGAAATTGATGAAAATGATGGCGTTCCCTACAAAATGCATAGCATCTGCAATAAATTACAAGTTTGCCTCTTCAGAGTCCCATAGGCCTCAGGTTTAAGAAATCATAAACTAGGGCCTTAGAAGTGACAAATAAATGGTTTGTGGGAGGAGCAACTTCTCTCACCTTCCACTCCATGCTTCCTTCTCGGATCTGAAAACAGACAACATAAGAGAGGCTCATATCATGTAACACATTCCCAAGGGAGAGAGGAAACCATTCTGGGTAACATTGTTACCTGGTTTATGTGCAGTTTCCCTAATACAAAAAGAAGACTATTTCATGTTTGATACAAACTTGGATAAAGGCACAAAGCAAAGCATCACAGCAGGTAGGAGGATGTGATTCCCCAAAGGGATCCATCACTCTGGGTCTATACCCCCAAAGAGATCTCATGAAGTCCATAGCTCCTCACTTTACTGAATGTCCCAATAGTCATAATTTGCAGGCAATTTTAGAAGGATCAGGATCCCAACAGCCATCTTAAAAATCCCCAAATGTCTGAGGATGAGTTAATAGATGGGAGGGCAAGTCAGCTGCCCTGGCTGGTTTCCCCATGCACCCTATCCAGCTTGGAAGCAAGACAACTCATAGATGACTCAACCCAGGGAACAGGAGGGACCCAGAAGCACCAGGATTGGAAGGCTCACAGCATGACAGGATACTGACCCAATTCTGCCTGGATATTCTTTGGAAAAAAACACACAATATCCAGAGGTTGACCCAGAGAAGTGTAGGTACAAATAGTTCTAGCTCCACTCAGGAGGGTGAGTTGTGGGTAAAGGTAGGGGTACCCTAGAACTGCTTTTTGAACCCAGTCTCAGCTCTTGTGCTGAGAATCTCTATCTGGGGTAAAATGAGAGATCAGAAACATTCACCCTGAAGAACGGGAAATGACACGTAGGACTCTCCGGAAGTAGAGATGGGGATCACCAGGGAGAAGGCAGCTGGGAGGGAGGTGGGACTGTGGAATGCATTCTCCAGAGCAATATTACTCCCAAGGAGGAGAAAATTCATTCTTGGGATAAGAAACTCTTATTGAAATGGAATATTATTTGATCATATTTTCTTCACTTTTATTTGCTCTGTTATTAAGTCTTTTCAACTACATTGAAACTTTCTTTACTGGGTTCTTGTTGGTGTTCTTAGAAATGTATGCCAGTCCTATAGGTACTGAAATAATTCTCCATCCCCATTTGTGGACCCTCTGTGAAGTAGAATGGGCCTGGTAGAAGGGACATTTTCCAAGGGAGCGACTTCAGGTCAACCTGGAGGAGGATGAGGACTGTGGTCCTTGTGGTCAAGGAACAAACCCAGGAGGAACAAACCCGGGTCCCTGACCCGGGCCATTCTAGATGCATGAATGAGCTAGGGCCCCATGCTTTATCTCACTTACTGTTGTATTTGTGGAAGAAAATGCTCAGACCAATGATAATACCATATAGAACAAGGAAGAGAACTCCCAGTGACTGAGACACCAAATTCCAGGGGAAGGGCTGGAAAAATGTCTCTGAAAAATAACCCACAGACCCTTTAGTTATTTCTGAATAGAAATATAGCTTGATTTAAGATATGTTTTTCTATAATTTCTCCTACATATTGTTTGAATGGAATTTTCTTCACACACCTCTATGTGTAATGTCACCTCTGGCACAGCACTTTCTGTTCAGGTGTGGATTATTTTCTGGTTCTCTGTTCTGTAACACTGTCTGTTTGTCTATCCCTGTGCCCATATTTTGACTGGCTTCATCATCGCTGCTCTGAGAAATGTCTTACATCATCAGAGGAAGCATTTCAGTTTCTTTTCTGTGTCTTGGCAATTCTTGGCCATTTACTCAGTCACATAAATTTTCAATCAAATTCTCTCGTTCCAAGAATACTCTGTTCAAATTTTCAATAGAATTATATTAAACACATAGGTAAATTATGGAATATATGGTACCTTTAAAATATTTCATCACATTACCTAAAAAATTACATCTCTCTCCTTGTAAGCTTCCACGAAGAACAAAGACATAAAGTGGCTTTCAGAAAATGTCATAGAATTGGCATCATTCAGACAACACTCTCTAAGCATGATATAATTCAGTTAAATGATGTTAATAGAAATAATTTAATATACATAGATGTTTGAAAGTTTTATTATAAACTTTTTATGAAATACCTGTTCTAATAAGGCCTTTTTTCCCTCAAAACTTTTTTTTCTTTTTGCTTTTCTTGACACTAATATGTTTGTTGTGGTGCTCTCTTGGTTAACATTTATCTGTTATGCTTTTGCTACTGAAAATTTTTCATATGTGTTACATTTTTTCCTCATGAATTTTAACACTGGAGTTCATTTTTTTTGAAAATTTATTTATTTATTTTTGCATCAGAAAACTGGGGTGTAGGTCAGAGGTGTGGGGGTGAGAGGATTCACCAGAGACAGAGTGGGGAACAGAACAGGCAGATTAACTGAAATAAATACACTGCTGAGGGGAGCAGTGGGGGAGTTGGACTCAGGCCATGGAAGTGATAGCCCCCTGAGACTTAATCCTTTGCCACCAGGGAGGACCCCTTGAGTTTAATTTTTTAAATTTATTTATATATATTTTACATCATTGTTCATTTTTAAACGTTTGCTCCCCCCTCCCCCAGGTGTAGTCCCCATATTATTTCCTCCACGAATGCACCTGTGCACCATCACCACAGTCCCCTGTGCTCCTCTCTCCCTCCCTCCGACCCCTCTTGCTTCCCCTCCCCTGTAGGATGTCTCTGGTTTATAACTGTCTGTTTGTTTTTGTTTTGTTTTGTTGTATTTTGTATTGTTATTATTTTTAATCCAATCTAACATTCTTTTAATTGGCAAGTCAAGTATGTTTATATTTATTGTGATTACTAACATACTTGGATTTACATTAATTATCTTACTATTTTAAAATCCTCCTGAAATTATCTTTAAAATTCTTCCTGAGGGGCACCTCCCTGGTAGCCTAGGGGTCAAGACCTAGCACTATCACCACTGTGGCCTGAGATCGATCCCCAATCAGGGACATGACCCACATATGACACAGCAGACCTCTCTCGTCTCACCTGCTACTCCCCTCAGCAGCGTATTTCAGTAGATCTGCCTGTTCTGCTCCCCATTCTATTTCTGGTGAATCCTCTCAACCCCTACTCCTCTGACCTACACCCCAGCCCTTCTATAAATAAATAAATCCTAAAAAAATAAAATTCTTCTTGAAATTCTCTTCCTGAAATTCTGTCTTATAGAGTAGTGTTTTATTATTTTCATTTATTATTAGAAAATAAGTCAGCATTTTTTTCGTGTTCCTAACATTATCTTCCCTAAATTTGCATATGTAGATTTTGGAGGCATGTGCCATGAAAATGATCATGTGTGAAAGAAACACCTAATTCACCACCTCTAGAATTATAAATAAACTTATGTCCAACAAATTAAATGTTTGTAATTTTATTTTTATAACTCATCAATATTTGGCTTTAAAAACTAATCATTAAAATTAGACAGTATCACATAATGACTCTGAAATAGATGCTTCTGTTCTTCCCCTGGATTACCTAAGCACCCACTTCCTTAGTTTCTTCTATCCCCACTCACCTCCTATCCATATTCTGGATTCCACCTTTTGACCCTGGTCAGTGAGCTGGATGCAGCATGATATACTCCCAGCATTTTCTTGGACTGTAAGAGAGGTCGCCACATCAAATAGGCCATGCATATCTTTGCTTACATTGGAGCTCGAGGGCAAATCGTGTCCCTGTGGACCTCTCCATACCAACGTGGGCTGAAGGAACCAACCCGAGGACTGACAGAACAGCTGGATGCCTCCATCAACATAGCCCACAATGGAAATGAGAGGAGTTGAGCCAGGTTCTGAGAAAACAGGAGAGAAGTGAATGCAAAGATTAACTACAAGGCTGTAGCTGTTTGAGCCAAATTCATGAAGCTTGAATACCTAACACCACCCCTCCTGCATTTGTCTCTTTTCCCTCCTCTCTTCCATACATATATACACTTACAACACTGAGAGAAGATTTTCCATGATCTTTGTTCAGTTAGCATGCATACTGATAAGGCTTAAGTATAATATGAAAAAGATTGTACTCCTTCTAATAAGGAACTTTTCAGGACCATAGTGGGGAATAAGGGAGAGAGATCTAAATTGCCAACTGTCAGAATAAATTGTCTAAATTAGCAATGACTCAAAATCAAAGTAGCAGTGAAATTTTAACCTTTATTATTGCAGCATATACACATGGTGACTCCTCCCTATTCCATTTTCCCCTCATGTAATGACATGCTAGCCTGGGAATAAATGTATCAATGCAGAAATAGGGACTGTGTCACTATTGGGGGGTGCCCTGAACAAACACCTCCAGCACCTTCATGGACTCTGCATTCAAAAGGACAGGGATGGGGAGCTGTAGAAAACTATAGGGTACTAAATCAGAGTGGGGAAAAGTATATTCAAGGTTTTCCTTCCTCTTTCTGATAAGAAGGTTTTGGCAGAGATGCCTGAGGATAACACTTCCCAAGGTTTTAGATAACAACTAGGAATGAAGGAACATGGGGTTAGAATATAAATATTCATGAGAACATTAATAGCCAGTGAGTCTGAGCCTTGACTACAATGAATTCATTCAGAGATCGCAAAGCACTGTCTATACACTAAGGCTGATGTGGGAGGGAGCTTTCCCCCATGCGGCCTATCAGTTAAAACCTTTGTAATTTCCTATGATTAAGCCTTAAAAATAACAGGAACCAGGCTCTCAGAACTCATTGCCAAAAGAGGATGCAACTATAAAAATTGTATTTCATTGTGAAAAATGCACCTAGGGAAGCATGGCCAACTGAGCACTGAAATGAGAGTGAGTAATGTCAGGAGAAGTCACACTTTCCTGGAGGTGATATTTGCATCCTGCTGTGTCAGATTAATGGGTGTTTTGCATGTGGGAGACTAGAGAGAGAAACATGCCAAACAGAGCTCAGCTTTATACCATGGTGAAAAAAACAGACAAGTCATGTTGTGTTTAAGGACCTATGCTGTGGACTGAATGGTTTTGTCCACCAAACATTAAATTGTTGAAACATTCACCTTTAATGTTATGGATTTTGGAGGTGGGACTTTGGTAAGTATTAGGCTAAGAAGGTGGAGTTCTCATGATGGCATTGTACTCTTATGGAAACTTCTTACCGTAAACAAAAAAGCAAAAAAAGACAACTGTCTATAAGACAGGAAGCAGGTTCTCATCAGGAAACAAATTGGCTAGTAGCTTGATATTGAACTTTCCCAATCTCCAGAACAATGAGAAATAAATTTTTGTTGTGTATCCACCCAGTCTGTGATATTTTTATTATAGCAGCTCTAGCTGACTGAGGCAACATATGAGCATTTAGCATTTCTAGACTGTGATGTGTGAGGAAGAATGGGTGTGAGGCTATGTACAACAGAGCGTCTCATCTGGGACACACTTTCTACTCAACAAGCAACACTAGAATATATCAGAAAATTGAATTGTCCATCAAGGTACAACTAGTCAAAGCATGCCAGGAAACTCAGAATTAGACTTAAACAACATGGTTATATACTAAAATAGAAATTTTAGATAGTGTTCACTTAATTATACAATAATAACCAAAACACCCAGATTGCAATTAAAAATTACTCATTGTACAAAGAATCAAGAATATATTATTTTATATGATAATAGACAATTTATTTAAGTCAACACTGAGATAAATATCTGAAAAAGACTTAAATAGTTGTCGGGAAAAGTACTTCAAGAAATGATTACAATTTATCTCAAATCAAATGAAAAATGGAATACCTCACTAAATCATAGAAATTGTTTTTTCAAAAGAATCGAGGCCTCCCTGGCTGTGAAGCTGTCCGCGGCCTCTGTAGTGCGGGTTTGATTCCCTGCCGGCCAGGGAGATTCCCACATAGTGAGGCAGACCTCTCCTGTCTCACCCACTGCTCCCCTCAGCAGTGCTTTTAATCCATCTGCCTGCTCTGCTCTCCACTCTGTCTCTGGTGAATCCTCTCACCCTCCTGTACCACTGGCCTGTACCCCAGCTCTTGTATAAATAAAATAAAATCTTAAAAAAAAATCGAGTAGAAATTATATAACTTAAAAATTAAATAACAAATAAGAAACTTATTGGATGTGTTCAACAGAGGGGTAGAGGTGACAGAAAATAGAACTTGGGGATAGAGAAATCAAATTTATCAAGTCTGAGCAACAGAAAGAACATAATTGTTTTTAAAAGGATATACCCCTCAAGGGCCTTCAGTTCTCTGACAAAAGTTGAAACATTTATATCATCAGAGTCCCAAAAAAGAAAGAAGAGAGATAGTGGGACTGAAAAAATGTTAGAAAAAATTATGGCAGATAAACTCCAATTTTGGTGGAAAGCAAAAATCAATAGTTTCAAGAAGCTGAGTGAATACCAAATTAAAAAAACAATAAAAGTTACATCTAGACATATGATAATTAAAATTCTGAAAACTAAAGTTATGGAAAATAACAGGAAAGCATCCAGAGAAAGAACAGGCATACTGCATATATAGGAACATCAATTAAAATGGCGGTAGATTTCTCCTCAGAAACACTGATGGCTAGAAAATAATGGCACAACATCTTTTAAGTGATAGAAGAACTGTCAAAAGAAAAATCTAACATCTGGCAAAACTATTCTTCCAAAATGAGGGAGAAATTAAGACATTCTCCAAAGAAGAAAAACTAGAGAATATGTTGCTAGCCAACATAACCTTATAGAATGTATATAGGAAATTCTTCACACAAAATTAATATTAAAGGAAGGGATTTTAAAGCATCAAGAAAGAAGTAAAATTAAAACAACAACAACAAAAACAAACCAGACTATCCATATGAGTTTTGAAAATTCATGTGATGGTTGAATCAAAATTTATAACACTATCAATGAGGTGCTCAAGGCAATATTATTTCAAAAGTAGGAAGACCCAAGTAAGGTTTGTCTTAAAGTGATGAAATGTTGGTAGCAGTAAATGTGATAAAATATTTATTTATATTGTTATAACCAAAATAACTGCTGAGAAAACTATACAAAATGATGTGCTCAAAAAACCATGAATTAGTCAACATGTTGTCTTAAAAACAAAGTTCTAGTAAGTCACAGAATCAAAAAGAGAAAAAAGTGAAGGAGAATTAAAGGAAACAAGCAGAAATAAATGGCATATGAAGTCATAAATCTCCACAACTACTTAAATGTTAATGATCTAAATAAGTCAACCAAACCAATTAAACCTTGGGATTTGGCCGAATAGGTTAGAAAAGAATTGACCCAACTATAAAAAAGTCATATCAAATACAATGACAGGAGTAAAAGTAAAAGGATGAAAAAATATATACTATTGTGATCACCTTCCAGTAGTGGGAGGAGAACCCCACCATGCCCACCCAAAATTTGAATCAGATGTCAAGACCAATAACATCACACATGCACCAAAATGTATGATAAAATTTGTTACTTACCAAACTCATTTGGTAAGGGAAGAGACACTCTTTCTAGGGAAGAGACACTCTTGGTTTTTACTGTGGCTAGTGGAGCAGACTGACAGAATTTTCTTTACATGGGATAAGTTTTCCATGATTTTAACTGCTCACTCTAATCAACAATATACATATACTCTAATCTCCAAATATACATATACATTGGAATATTTTCAGCCATAAGATAAAAAGAAATCCTGCCACTTGTGACAAAATGGATGGACCTTCAGGATATTACGCTAAGTGAGTGAGATAAGTTAGACAGAGAAAGACAAATCCTGAGTGCTATCACTTACATGTAGAATCTAAAAAAGTCAAAACAATCAGAGTGAAATGGTGCTGACCAGGGGCTGGAGTGGGGAAATTGTCAGATTGTTGTTTAAGGGTACAAACTGGCAATTAGTAGATAAAATACTTAATGCATAGTTATGATAGAAAATGATATTCTAGTATAAACCTCAGAGTTGCAAGAAATTAAATCTTAATTTTCTACCACAAATGAAAAATGACTATTTTCAACGTGATAAGGTGTTAGCTAATGCTATAGCAGTAATCATATTACAGTATATAAAAGTATGAAATTGTGTTTTACATCTTAAATGTACAGAACTTCATTTGTCAACTATATTTTGATATAATTCTTAATTAAAAATCAAGTTACCTAATTTAAAAATTACAAAATACCTGGATAGTTTGCCAAAGAATATTTATAGATATCAAGAAAGCATAAGGCATGGTAACTAGGGCACTGTAAATTAAAGCATAACTAAACTCCCTCACAATGACAACACAAAATGCTGTTTAAAATGTGGTACAGCATGCTGGTGGGAGTGCAAACTGGTCCAACCACTATGGAAAGCTGTGTGGAGATTTCTCAACCTACTAAAGATAGAGCTTCCATATGATCCAGCAATTCCACTCCTAGGTATTTACCCAAAGGACACAGAAACATTAATTCCAAAGAGCAACTGCACCCCTATGTTTATAGCAGCACTATTTACAATAGCTAAGCTTTGGAAACAACCCAAATGCCCAAAAATAGATGACTGGATCAAGAAGATGTGGTACATATACACAATGGAATATTACTCAGCATTCAAAAAAGATAAACACATGCAATTTGCAGCAACATGGATGGAGCTGGAAGGGATCATGATCAGCATAATAAGCCAGAAAGAAAAAGGAAAATACAGGATGGTCTCACTCATAGCAGGAATCTGGAAACCCTAAATAAGGGACCAGGAAAAAGAATAACTCTAAGAAAGAAAAAATCAAAATCAACAAACAACGATGAACCAGAGACACTTTGGTGGGGGGTGGCAGGGAAAGGTCTAAATAAGGGGGTTGCAATTGTATGGAGAATATAAAAATAAAATAAAATAAATGTGGTAGAGCAGAATCTTTCATTTTTTGCTCATGGGAATTGAAAATAGTACTACCACTTTGGAAGAATGTCTAGCAGCTTCTTCCAAAACTATACATACTCTTAACATGCTATGAAGCAATTCCACTAGTTTTTATTTATCAAAATGAGTTGAAATTTACATACACACAAAATCTTGCATAATAATGTTTATAGTAATTTCATCATACTTGCCAAATCAAGGCGTCTTCCAATGGACAAATGGATAAATAAAATTAAACATACCCATACAATGCAAATTATTTAGTTATAAAAATAGTTATCAAGTCATAAAAAGATATAGATAAACCTTGAATGCTTATTAGAATGTGAAATAAATCAATCTGAAAAAGCTATATGCTGTAATATTCCAAGTATATGGCAATTCTGGGAAAGACAAAAACTGAAGTAAAAGATCAGTGTTTGTCTGGGGTTCATCTGGGAGGGATGGCTAGCTAAATTCTTTTTTTATAAACCCACTGTCCATCTCCCCAAATATTGACTAAAATCATTCTTAACACGTTCTTAGCATATGATCCAGAAATTCCACTAATGGACATTTATTTAGATAAATGGAAACCTAACATGTATACAAAGACCTGTACGTGAATGTTTATGGACATCTTATTTGTATAAGTAAAAGTGGAAACAATACACGCATCCATCAGTAGGTGAATAGCTGGTAATCCAGGCACATATACACCATGGTGTACTGCACAGGAGTAAGAAGTAATGAACTATTGGTATAGGCAGCTCAAGGGCACAGTGTTGAATGGAAGAGCCCATCTGAAAAGGTTACATACTGTATAATTCTATATGAATAACACTGAAGAAATGACAAAATTGCAGAAATGGCAAAGAGTTTAGTGGTTGAGTGGATTGGGAAAGTGGTTGATAAAGAGACTTGTGAGACTATAAAGAGATACAGTAAACTTTGTGGGGCTGGGCCAGATCTATAACTTGATGTCATGGTGGTTGCGTAAATCTACACATATGATGAAATAACTTAGAATTATACACATAGAACAAATAGTGTAGTAGGTTGTCTTCTAACTAAATTGTCTAAGATATTTTTTTTAAACTCCCTTTTCAAGAAACACTTCAAAAATTCCTGATGGTTCTACAAGACAACGAAGACATGGGTTCTCTGAAATCGGTGACTGACCTGACACCTGCAGGTCCCAGAAGGCCTCCTGCTCGAAACTCTGGGAACTGAAGAAACATCCATAGAGACCAGAGTCTGAGAGAGTGACCTTCTCCAGCCTCAGGGAGACATGCCCCTCTACCATGGAGTCCTTCAGCAACTCCGTTCTCCCTTGATAGTCTGGAATCTGCATCTTGACTTGGTCTTTCCCATTCCTGTAGAGGTGGACCACAGAGGAGACTTGATCCCTGAAGAAGCGCACTTCCATGGCCTCTGCACTTGTCTCAGGAGCCAGGGAGCAGGAGAACACTGCGTCCTCCCCCACCAAGACCTGGACCATCTTGTCTGGCCCAATCACCTGCCACTGGCCTGTGGGAGGAAACAGCAGATAACTAGCAGATAACTGAGCAAATCCCTCCCAGTGTCCACTCAGGGCCAGAGTGGCCTGGGGATGTGCTTGGCAGTGGGTGGAGCTTTCATTACACTCTCCTTCTAACCCCAGGGCCTTGCACAGTTCACATCAGTTATTTCATTCAGTCCTCACAAACATCCTCGTGGTGTGTGTTATTAATATTCCCATTTCCAGGATGAAAAGACAATGTCTCAAAGAGACTAAATAAACTAATTAGTGGCGTGAAAGACCCTGTATAAATGCAGATCCTCTTATTAGCATTCCAGTAATTTTCCTGCTATAAATCACATCATTTTTTCACGATTAAATTTCTTTTAGAGAGACCAAAAACTTTGGAAAATCACTCCCTTCAATTTTTATGCACACACCCCTTTAATTGTGAACAACTCTATAAATTCACATATATTCGTAAGTGGTATGTACAGACACATGGAGGAACTGATGTGTAACCTGAGCAAAGCATATCATAGGCAAGTTTTCAAATAAGTGGATATTTTTATTTTAAAATCAATTATTTCTTATTTTATTTTATTTTAAATTATTTAAAGATTTATTTATTTATACAAGCACTGGGGTACAGGCCAGATGTGCAGGAGGGTGAGAGAATCCACCAGAGACAGAACTGGGAACAGAACAGACAGAAGGCCCAAAATACACTGCTGAGGGGAGCAGCGGGCGCTACAGGAGAGGTCTGCCACGCCAATTAGGCATCTCCCTGGGCGGCCGGGAATAAAACCGTCGCTGTGGAGGCTGCGGAAAGCTTTGCAGTTTTGCACCCAACCCACTACGCCACCAGGGAGGCCCTATTTCTTATTTTAAATGTTTCATAAATCATTCTGAAATGTATTTCACTCATGCATTTTGAAGGAGAGTCCTCAGAAACAAAATGGGGATCAGGATTTCTGTTCAGCTGCAACCTAGCCCAGCAGACATTGAGACCTGTGACCTTCTCTCTCACCTCGGAGCCCTCCAGCAGTGAGATAGGCCCACCCATGTCGAGTTCCAGCTCCACCTAGAAGCCTGGCCTCTGCCTCCCTGTTGAGGGCTTCCTCTGTTCTTAAGAAGCTGCTCAGCAGGGGTTCAGGGAGACCAAGAAAAACTGAGGATATAATATTCCTTGGGGCAACAGCCGATATCATTCTCAATGGTGAAAAGCTGAAAGCATTCCCATTAAGACCTGGAACAAGACAAGGATGTCCACTCTCACCACTGCTTTTCAACATAATACTGGAAGTCCTAGCCAGAGCAATAAGACAAGAGAAAGACATTCAAGGAATCCAAATAGGCAAGGAAGAAGTCAAACTATCACTATTTGCAGACGATATGATAATATACATAGAGAAACCCAAAAACTCCACAGAAAAACTAATTCAACTAATCAATCAGTTTAGTCAAGTGGCAGGATACAAAATCAACATGCAAAAATCAGCAGCCTTCCTATACTCAAACAATAAATCTGAAGAAGAAGAATCAAGAAAACCATTCCTTTTATTATTGAAACAAAAAAAATCAAATACTTGGGAATAAACCTAACAAAAGTAGTAAAGGACCTATACAAAGAAAACTATAAAACACTGTTAAAAGAAATAGAAGTAGACACAAAGAAATGGAAAGACATCCCCTGCTCATGGATTGGAAGAATTAACATTATCAAAATGGCCATCCTACCAAAAGCAATCTACAGATTCAATGCTATTCCAATTAAAATATCAATGTCATTCTTCAAAGAAATAGGAAAAATATTGAAGAAATTCATATGGAGCAACCAAAAACCCCGAATAGCCAAAATCCTCCTGAAAAAAAAAAAGAAGGGAATGGAGGCATCACTTGCCCAGATTTCAAACTATACTACAAAGCCATAATAGTCAAAACTGCATGGTATTGGAACCAGAACAGACACGCAAACCAATGGAACCAAACAGAAAACCCAGAAATAAACCCACAGATCTATGGTCAAGTAATCTTTGACAAAGGAGGAAAGAATATGCACTGGAGCAAAGAAAGTTTGTTCAATAAATGGTGCTGGGAAAACTGGGTCACTAGATGCAAAAGAATGAAGCTTGACTACTACGTCACACCATGCACAAAAACCAACTCAAAATGGATTAAAGAACCAGACATAAGATCTGAAACCATAAAATATGTAGAAGGATATATAGGCAAAACACTACATGACATGCACCTCAAAGATACCTTTACAGATGCATCACCCAAAGCAGTGATAGTGAAGGCAAAGTTAAAAAGCGGGGACTACATCAAACTAAAGACCGTCTGCACAGCAGAAGAGACAAGAACTAAAACAAAGTGAAACCCCTCCAACTGGGAGAACATTTTTTCACCCAACACTAATGATAAAGGACTGATCACAAAAATCTATAAAGAGCTGATGAGACTCAACAAAAAGAAAGTTAATAATCCAGTCAGAAAATGGGCAGAAGAGCTAAAAAGAAACTTCTCCAAAAAGGAAATACAAATGGCCACCAGGCATGTGAAAACATGTTCAACGTCTCTTGCAATCAGGGAAATGCAAATCAAAACTACTATGAGATACCATCTTACACCAGTGAGAATGGCACATATTGAAAAAACTAGCAACAACAACTGTTGGCAACGATTTGGAGAGAAAGGAACTCTCCTGCACTGCTGGTGGGAGTGCAAACTGGTCCAACCATTGTGGAGAGCTGTGTGGAGATTCCTCAACCTACTAAAGATAGAGCTTCCATATGATCCAGCAATTCCACTCCTAGGTATTTACCCAAAGGACACAGAAACATTAATTCCAAAGAGCAACTGCACCCCTATGTTTATAGCAGCACTATTTACAATATCTAAGCTTTGGAACAACCCAAATGCCCAAGAATAGATGACAGGATCAAGAAGATGTGGTACATATACATGATGGAATATTACTCAGCATTCAAAAAAGATAAACACTTGCAATTTGCAGCAACATGGATGGAGATGGAAGGGATCATGCTCAGCAAAATAAGCCAGAAAGAAAAAGAAAAATACCGGATGGTCTCACTCATAACAGGAATCTAGAAAACCTAAATAAGGGACCAGGAAAAAGAATAACTATAAGAAAGAAAAAATCAAAATCCACAAACAACTATGAACCAGAGACACACTTTGGCGGGGGTGCGGGGAAAGGAGGAATTGGGGTCAAAATCAGGGGGTTGCAATTGTATGGGGAATATAAAAATAAAAAAGAAAATAAACAAAAAATAATAATAATATTCCTTGGGGCATATCTCACCAGTGGGGGCAGGAGACAGTGGATGCTGGGCAGATTTTTTTTAATATTATTTTTTATTCAGGTAATGTTGCACACCTGTGTTCTTGTAGCACTATTTACAATAGTCAAGCTGTGAAAGCAACCGAAGTGTCCAATAACAGATGAGTAGATTAAAAAGATGTGGTACATATACACAAGGGGATACTACCCAGCTCTGAAAAAAGATGAAATTGTGCCACTCACAAAAACATGAATGGAACTGGAAGGGATTATACTAAGCGAAATAATTAAGAAGGAAAATGACCGATAATGAAGGATTTTATTTATATGTGGAATATAAAGAAAGAAAACAAGGAAACAGACAAGACTAAATCAAAGCAAACCCTAGAAATCTGACTGTAGAATTGAGACTACTGGAAGGAGAAGGCAGGGGTAGCAGCAAAGAGGAGAGGGGACCCAGTGCACTATGGTGGAGGGCTAGAGGTGTTCTGGTGGTGGGTGTAGTGTGGTATCATAAACCTGAGGGGTGCGAACCTGTACCTCTATGTCATATGCAGTATTGTTGGGAAGAGTTTAGCTGTAATCTGCATGGCTCTTCAGGAAGTCCCAGTGGAACTGAGTCCCAGTTTCAAATGGCAGTGACTTGCTCACTACCTCTATGACTTGCCCCATTCATATTTTACTCCCCCTGCTCCCTCACTTTTGTTCTTCTAAACAAACCACCTGTATACAACCCTATCCCTGCTCTGTGCTGGGGACCAGTCTGGTTCAGCTTGGCGGCCAGCAGTGCAGCTTCCGGGGTGTGGAATGTGTTCTGTAGTGTCTGTTCCTATGACCAGCACTTGCTGCTGTCATTTTCCTCACCTGCAGCAACTCTTTCTACTTTTACTCTTCTTTCCTGAAGAATCAGAGAAAAGTGCCTGTTGTAAACATGTACTTTGTGCTAGTGGAGCTCCGTGCTATGTGCACTTCTCACAACAGCACTGTCATTCATGTGACATCATCTTATTGTTGTGATGAGCAAACTGACACCCAGTGGAGTCAGACGACACACACTTTCTAAGCAGAGGAAATGGGAGTTTTAAAAAGTAATCTGTATGCCTATAAAGACATTTCCATAACATGCTACTGCCTCTTCTGGAAACAGGGCGGTCAGAAAAATGCATTGTAAGTTGGATGAAAATTAACATCATGAGCGACTCTCTTATGAGTAAGACTCATGGATTTTGTTGTAGAAAATGGAGCATGTTTTGAGTGCCTCTATTTCCTTTTTCAGCTAAGCAGATATAGGTAGCCATGTGGCAAGTCTGAATTTGATCAGGCAAGTGGTGATCACAGTTCTTTTTTACAGCTCTGACTCCTTGAACCTCTAACTTGTATCTTCCTATGGGATTTTACTGAATTACTCAATATCCTACATAAGAGATGTTCAATGGTCATTGAAATGAGGAAAAAAAGTGTTTTTCTCCACAGAATATGCCAGGTTCCAAGTTATTCCTAACTAATGATCTGGACAACTCCCCTACCCCAGGTCACCTGTCAAGGATGTTTCCTCCTCAGTGTGTCATCAGCTGGGCACATTGTTTTTTCCTCAAATGTCCTAAGTGATGTATCCTTCCACCTGGCACCCAAATCAGAAACCTTGGTGCTTCAATCCAAACCTCCCCTACCTAAAGGACAAACATTTGATTTATTTATGTTAACACCCTTGGTGTGTGCCCTCTTCATCACCGCGGCCTTTCTTCAGTGTTCTCTCCTGTCTTTCTATTATCATCGTTTCCACAGTGCCTGAACACTGCACACTGCCCCCGCCCCACACCCATGGCACAGAGTTAGCAGGTGCAAGAAGAAGCAGGGGGAATCCAAATACCACAGATTCCCCATCCCACCATGCTGTGGCCATTGTAGGTCAAGACCTAAAACTGTCCATCTGCAAGAAAAGGGACACATCCAGCCTTGATGGCTTACCTGAACCCAGTTTGAGGAGACTGAGAACCAAAGTGAGTATGAGGGCCATGCTTGTCCTTCAGGTCGATCTCGAGCAGGGGAACAGGTGACAGCAGGGACATGTGGGTAGATTAATTAGAAGGAAGAGAATTCAGCTGAGCCACCCCAGGTGCCACCATCATGGAGAGTCTCAGTGTGAACTGATGGAAACTGCGATTTTTCTGATAGTCTCTTAACACACGCATGACTATGTGTTAGGAGAATGGGGCCCTAGACTTTGAACACAGCCTTTATTGACAGACCATAAACATATATCTTATAACAAGAAAGTAATGATAGGGAAAGGGTGGGGCACTGAACTAGGGCTTTCTCTTGGGTCAAAGGTGTGTTCTGGCTCAGTGACACAGGTCAGGGCATTTTTCAGTCCCAAACTGATAGCAGAGCTGTGTAAGGAGTGAGGATTTAGTTCCCAAAGCAAAATCATCCCAGCACAAGGCCGTGGGTTGTCCAGGCACACATGCAATGTCTAGAAGGAGTAACCAAGAGAGAAATAAATCCCTAAGTGCTTGGCAGTCTAAATTAATCCTGCCTGCCCATCCCTTTCTTAAGTTTGAAGGTAGAACTCAGATCATGAAACAAGGTACAATAACTTTCAAGACAAGGCCTGAATCTTCAAGGAGCCAAGGCAAAGGGAAAAGTACCAGGACAGATTGGGCAGGTTGGGGGTGGGGTGAGGAGGTAAAGTGCATTCATTTATACACTAAATCAGGGTCCCCCCGATGTTAGATTGTACAATCTTTCAAGCATGTGGAAAATCAAAAAATGATCTCCTATTGGATTATAAAGCAAGTTTCTACAGATACCATGACAAGAAAATATATTTTTAACAATAATGCAATTAATATTAAATATCAATTTAAAAGTTTAGAGACTTAGAAATTGGTAACAACAAGTTTTAAATGACTCATGGATCCAAAAGGATTGCAATAAAAGTTAGAAAATATTTAGAATGCAACATGAAAGAAAATACTACATTTAAGCTAAAATCCAACACAGTAGTAGCATTATATCATGGCAAGAATGTGGAGCACCCCAGGTCTCACAGCACAGCTATACTGGAAGATAGTTTACATGTTTCTTACAAAAATAAACATAATCTTTCCATACTATGCAGCAAATGAACTCCATGGTATTTTTATCCAGATGTGTTGATATCTTAAGTTCACATGAAAACATGTACATGAATGTTTATCTTGGAGGTAGCCAAGATATCACCCATCTAATGAATGGATAAGTAAACTGTAGGACGGTAATACAATAGGCTATTATTCAGTGTAAAAGGAGGTCTTATCAAGTCACAAAAAGGCTTAGAGGACCCTAAATAAATATTGGTAAATGAGTGGAGCCAGTTTGAAAAAACTATATACTGTCTGATTCCATCATATGAATTTATGGAAAAAAGAAAACTAAGAAGACAGTAAAAAAAAAAAATCTTTTTTTCTAGGGTTTGGAAGAGATAGGGAGAGAGAGGGATGAATAAATAGAATAAGGATATTTTTAGTATTCTTTATGCTACTATAATGATAGCTACATGCACTTATGCCTCTGTCAAAAACCCATAAAATCTACCATACATCACACCGAGAGTAAGACCTAATGTAAACCATAGACTTTGCATGATGCTTACTGTCAATTGTATCTGATGATACAGCTGTGTCATCAGTGTGGCAAATGTACCACTCTGGTGAGGGCTGGTGATGGCAGAGGCTGAGTCCTGTGTGTATACTCTGGGGGTTGAGAGAGTTATATGGAAACTACTTTATAATCAGTTTTGTTATAAACCTAAAACTACTTTGCTTATTTTTTCAATATAATGTAAATTTTATACGTGGGTATATGGACAGATAAGGTATGATCATTTATTGAAATATCCAGTGCTGATTATGTGGAGACAATGGGTTTTAAGTCATTTAAAATTTTTTTTGAATTAATTTTTTTACATCATTGTTCATTTTTGTACAATGTTTGATTTCTCTCCTCAGGTGTAGTCCCCATAAAATTCCCACCACCACATCACCTGTGAACTGTCACCATCGTCCCTTATGCTCTTCCCTCCCCTAATTTAAACCCTCATTCTACCCCTCCCCTGCTATATGACTCAGATTTATAGTTTGCCTGCTAGTTTTGTCTAAAACTTCTTTAAAAATAGTCTATTTTTAAGTGAAGATGGCACCCAAAGGATGTGGTTTAGGAAATGACATCACTAAGACCAACTATAACTTTTTTATTTTATTTTATTTTTAAACAATATTTGCTTCCCTCCACCCCCTCAGATTGAGTCCCCATAGAATTTCCTTCCCCAAGGCACCCGGGCACCATCACCACAGTCCCCTGTGCTCCTCCCTCCCTCTTTCTCCTCCCCCTCTCTCCTCCTCTCCTGCAGTATGTCTCTGATTCATAATAGTCTGTTTTTGCTTTCTGTGTTTTGTACTGTCACTATTTTTTTTACACTTATGTCTTATTGGGTTCCCCTATATTCCTGCTATAAGTGAAACCATCCAATATTTTTCTTTTTCCTTCTGGCTTGTTTCACTGAGCATAATTCCTTCTAGCTCCATCCACGTTGCCATGAATGGCATGAGATTATCTTTTTTGATTGCTGAATAATATTCCATTGTGTATATATACCACGTCTTCTTGATCCAGTCATCTATTTTTGGGCATTTGGGTTGTTTCCAGGTTTTACCTATTGTAAATAGTGCTGCAATAAACATAGGGGTACAGGTGCTCTTTTGAATCAATGGTTTTGTGTCCTTTGGGTAGATTCCTAGGAGTGGAATTGCTGAATCTTTTGGTAATTCCATTTTTAGTAGACTGAGGAACCTCCAAACAGTTTTCCATAGTGGTTGGACCAGTTTTCACCCCCCACCCCAGCAATGTAGGAGAGTTCCTTTTTCACCACATCCTTGCCAACATTTGTTGTTGCTTGTTTTTTTTGATATGTGCCATTCTTGCTGGTGTAAGGTGGTATCTCAGGGTGGTTTTGATTTGCATTTCCCTGATTATAAGGGATGTTGATCATTTTTTCATATGCCTGTTGGCCATTTGCATTTCCTATTTGGAGAAATGTCTTTTAAGTTCTTCTGTCCATTTCTTTTTTTTTTATGAAAACATATATATTTTTAATAAATTATGTTATTTTTTCATTTTCATGATTTTTATTTTTATTTTAATTTTTTATTATAAATTTTATTTTTATATTCCCCATACAATTGTAACCCCCCTTATTTTGACCCCAATTCCTCCCCTCCCCACACCCTACTCCCTGTAGAGTGGAGTCTCTGGTTCATAGTTGTTTGTTGATTTTGATTTTTCCTTTCTTATAGTTATTCTTTTTCCTGGTCCCTTATTTAAGTTTTCTAGATTCCTGCTATGAGTGAGACCATCCGGTATTTTTCTTTTTCTTTCTGGCTTATTTCACTGAGCATGATCCCTTCCAGCACCATCCATGTTGCTGCAAATTGCATGTGTAACCATGGAATATTACTCAGCATTCAAAAAAGATAAATTATGTTATTTTATATAATTCTTACATCATTTTTCTATTTGCATAATGTATGCATTTTCATTTTGGTTATATTCCCCATACAATTCCCACCCCCTTTTTCTGACCCTAATCCCTCTTCTCCTCCCCCAACCCCCACTGTAGTATGTTTCTGGTCTATAGTTGTTTGTTGATTTTGATTTTTACTTTCTTATAGTTATTCTTTTTCCTGGTCCCTTATTTAAGTTTTCTAGATTCCTGCTATGAGTGAGACCATCCGGTATTTTTCTTTTTCTTTCTGGCTTATTACGCTGATCATGATCCCTTCCAGCTCCATCCATGTTGCTGCAAATTGCATGTGTTTATCTTTTTTGATTGCTGAGTAATATTCCATTGTGTATATGTACCACACCCTCTTGATCCAGTCTTCTATTTTGGGGCATTTGGGTTGTTTCCAAATCTTAGCTATTGTAAATAGTGCTGCTATAAACATAGGGGTACAGGTGTCCTTTTGAATTAATGTTTGTGTCCTTTGGGTAAATACCTAGGAGTGGAGTTGCTGGAGCATATGGAAGCTCTATCTTTAGTAGATTAAGAAATCTCCACACAGCTTTCCATAGTGGTTGGGCCAGTTTCAATCCCACCAGCAGTGCAGGAGAGTTCCTTTCTCTCCAAATCCTCGCCAACATTTGTTGTTGCTAGTTTTTTTTAATGTGCCATTCTCACTGGTGTAAGATAATATCTCATTGTAGTTTTGATTTGCATTCCCCTGATTACAAGTGATGTTGAACATTTTTTCATATGCTTGTTGGCCATTGCATTACCTCTTTGGAGAAGTTTCTTTTTAGCTCTTCTGCCCATTTTCTGACTGGATTATTAACTTTCTTTTTGTTGAGTCTCATCAGCTTTTTGTAGATTTTTGCCATCAGTCCTTTATCATTATTGTTGGGTGCAAAAATTTTCTCCCAGTCGGTGGGGTTTCTCTTTGTTTTGGTTATTGTCTCTTTTGCTGTGAAGAAGCTCTTTAATTTGATGTAGTCCCAGCTGTTTATCTTTGCCTTCACTATCATTGCTTTGGGTGAGGTGTCTGTGAAGATGTCTTTGATGTGCATGTCATGTAGTGTTTCGTCTATATTTCCTTCTATATAGTTTATGATTTCAGATCTTATGTCTAGTTCTTTAATCCATTTTGAGTTGGTTTTTGTGCATGGTGTGAGGTAGTAGTCAAGCTTCATTCTTTTGCATGCAGTGACCCAGTTTTCCCAGCACCATTTATTGAACAAACTTTCTTTGCTCCAGTGCATATTCTTTCCTCCTTTGTCTAAGATTAATTGACCATAAATCTGTGGGTTTATTTCTGGATTTTCTTTTTTTTTTTTTTTTAACTTTTATTTTTTATTTTTTTTATTTTTATAGAGGCATGCTTTATTTATTTGTTTGCTGGTTTGTTTGTTTGTTTTGTTTATACATGCACTGGGTACAGTCAGAAGCGCGGGAGGGCGAGAGAACTCACCAGAGCCAGAGCG